GTGCTGAGTCTGGAGGTGCGGCGCCTGAGGGTACTGATACTGCTGGTGCGCGGTCTCCTTGGAGAGGTCGCCTTCGTCCGCGTGCGCCTCTCTCCCCTCAGCAGCTGCACGAGTGGTACGCTAGCCGTCAGGGTCGCGCTGGTGGAGCTCGTGGCTCTGCAGCTGGGAGTGGTGCTGGTACTTTGTCTACAGGAGGTGCTGGAGTCGCTGGTTCCGGAGGTGCTCGTACTGGAGGTACTGGAGCTGCTGGAGCTGGCGGTGCTGAGTCTGGGGGTTCCGCTGCTGGAGACCCTGGGGCTGGAGGTGCCGGTTCTGGGGGTACTGCTGCTGGTGACGCTGGTACGGGAGGTGCTGGAGCTGGAGGTTCTGGAGCTGCTGGTGACGCTGGTACTGGAGGTGCTGGCGCTGGAGGTTCTGGGGCTGCTGGTGACGCTGGTACTGGAGGTGCTGGCGCTGGAGGTTCTGGAGCTGCTGGTGACACTGGTACTGGAGGTACTGGCGCTGGAGTTTCTGGAGCTGCTGCTGGTGCTGGCGCTCGAGGAGCTGGAGCTGGAGGTTCTGGAGCTGCTGGAGGTGCTGGAGCTGCTGGTGGTGCTGGAGCTGCTGGTGCTGGTGGCGCTGCACAGCCACGACTATTCTTTGCTCCGCCGTCTCCGTCGTCTCTGCCACCGCCTGACTCCGTGCTTCGCCAGGTTCTTAGCCTCCCGTCGTCTACTGGTCTTCCGTTACAGCCTGGCTCACCACTACCTGCTCCTTCTCCTTACACTGAGCAGCCAGGAGGTCTTGCTGAGCGTCGTGAGCCTGCGTCGCGTCCTGTCTCGCATGTCCGCACTGGTCGTCGTGTTCCTCGTCCGCGTCCGTCGGCTGTCCCCGGCACACACCTCATGGTTGTGCGTCCTTCCTCTGCTCCGCAGCGTGTTCCTCTGCCGTCTCCTCCTGCGTCTTCTCTGCCTGTCGTTGCTGACCCTGAGTCTGACCAGTTTCGTGCTGAGCACCCTACTGTCACGCGTCTGCTAGCCACAGTTGTCACTGACCCGTCGTTTGAGTCTGCTGCTGCGTCTGCCTTAGTCGCTGAGCTTGTTGACTTTGCTGCTGCGTGTCGCCTAGACTACGCCGCTAGTCTTGTTGCTGAGTCTGAGTCTGTCTGTCCTCCGTCCGTCGGGGGTGAGTGTGCTCTTGGCACGGACGTCCTTGAGGACAGGCAGGAGGACCTTGAGTGTCTTGCAGCCGCTGCGCCTCATCTCGTGGCCAATCTGCTTGCCCCTGAGGGAGACCCGGATGCTCCAGACATCCCGACCCCGCGCTCTTACGCTGAGGCGATCGCGAGTGAGTACTCCTCTCAGTGGCAGACAGCCATGGACGCAGAGATGGCATCCTGGAAGTCCACTGGCACCTACGTCGATGAGGTTCCCCCTCCTGGGGCGAACATCGTCGATGGCATGTGGATTCTCAGGGTGAAGCGGCCGCCGGGTTCTCCGCCTGTCTTCAAAGCTGGTTACGTTGCTCGAGGCTTCAGTCAGCGCGAGGGAGTTGACTTCTTCCAGACCTTCTCCCCCACCCCGAAGATGACCACTCTTCTGGTGCTGCTGCACGTTGCCGCTCAGCGTGACTACGAGCTTCACTCTCTTGACTTCAGCACAGCCTTCCTACAGGGCAGCCTGCACGAGGAGATCTAATTGCGCTGCCAACCTGGCTTCACTAGGTCGTTCCCTCCTGGTACCCAGTGGAGCCTCCGGCGGCCAGTCTACGGTCTCCATCAGGCGCCGCGTGAGTGGCACGACACACTGAGGACGACACTTGCGACTCTTGGGTTTGCTCCGTCGACTGCTGACCCGTCGCTGTTTCTGCGCACCGACACTTCGCTGCCGCCGTTCTACATCCTCATGTACGTCGACGACTTGGTCTTTGCCACTGCTGACATTGAGGCTCTCGCCCTGGTGAAGTCGGAGCTGCAGAAGAGACACACGTGCACAGACCTGGGTGAGCTGCGCAGCTACCTTGGCTTGCAGATCACCCGGGACAGAGCACGCCGCACCATCACACTGACTCAGTCACACATGGTGCAGCAGGTCCTTCAGCGCTTCGGCTTCACCTGGTCCTCAGCACAGGCCACTCCTCTGGCTACAGGTCACTCGCTCTCAGCTCCACCTTCGGACGAGTCCGTAGAGCCGAGTGGTCCTTATCCAGAGCTAGTGGGCTGCCTCATGTACCTGATGACCTGCACTCGTCCTGACCTTGCGTACCCTCTTGGCCTTCTGGCTCGCTACGTGGCTCCTGGTCGGCACCGAAAGGTGCACATGGATGCTGCTAAGAGGATACTACGCTACTTGTGCAGTACATCGGGCATGGGGCTCGTGCTTGGAGGACGGGGCGACGTTGTCCTCACTGGTCACTCAGACGCTTCTTGGGTTGACGACCTGGCTACGCAGCGGTCGTCACAGGGTTACACCTTCAGCCTTGGCTCTATCTCTGTTTCTTGGCGGTCTACACGCTCTTCCTCTGTTCTCAGCTCCAGTTGCGAGGCTGAGATCTATGCTACAGCCTTGGCTGCTTAGGAGTTACGCTGGCTTACCTACCTGCTGACCGACTTGGGAGAGCGGCCTCGTTCTCCTCCAGTGCTGTACGTAGACAACAAGGCCGCCATTGCCTTGTGTCAGGAGCACAGACTGGAGCACAGAACGAAGCACATCGCTCTGCGTTACTTCCTTGCTCGAGAGCTGCAGCAGCGTGGTCAGCTACGCCTTGCTCACGTGGCCACTCGGGCCAACACTGCTGATATATTCACCAAGGCACTTCCGTCTGGTGATCATCAGCGCTTTTGTACCTTGTTGGGCCTTGTGCCTACGTTTCCTCACTTGCTGTAGGCTTTGTTTGTACTGTGATCTATATATGTATATACCTGCATGCTTTTTCTTGCTCGTTAGAGATCACTATGCTGTTGTTGTTGCATATATACCTCTGCATATGGACTGGTCTTGTGACCCCTTGCTCTCCCCCACTTTGCCTATCGGGGTGTGTCAAATGATATATATGCTATATATGTTTAGGCTGTAGTGGGGTAGCTAACATGGGGTATAGCCCCATTAGGATTTCATATTTGTACCCAACTCTGTTCTAGTCCATTCATTCCTGCCTAGACTTCTGACATAGGAGGCTTAGCAAGGAGAATCATGGCGATCGTATCGAGAGGGAGATTCGATATGTAGCGAAGGTACAAATAGGAAAAAAAGGAGGTACACCACCTACAGAAAATACCACAAACACTGCAGTAACTACAACAAACAGTTTATATATAAAGCATAAGTTTAACATACTTGCTCATGTTACGTACATGAATGATTGATGCATTTCGTTATCGTAACAGTTGGTACCAGGAATAAATCACGAAAAGGGGGGAAAAGGAAAACAGGAACTCAGGGAAGGGAGAACGGAGATCCTGTTGGTGCTATAACGTGGGCACATATGATATGAAGACATGTTCCATATAGATACAAAGCAAGATAAATAGGGAAGACGAGTACACTGCTCCTTGTGATATTATTGTGGATTCTGGAATGTCTAATCGAGGTCCAAAGTTTGCCAAGACCCACCCATACCTATTATGCGACTCGACAAAAGCAACGCACCTTGGTTCGATTTTGCAGCTGCGGTCCCAGCCCCGTCCCAGTCACCCTTTCCCCAGGTCTGCCAAGGGCCGAAGCGAGGGCATTTTTGCAGGTCTTGAGATTTGGTGAATGCGGCCCGGAGCTTCGCGTTTGCAGTTGCGCCCCTATTTTCCCTCGACCAATCGGAGCACTTTTTGCAGCCCCGAATTCGCCCCTGCACAGTCGCATTGCCTCGCCAAATCGCATGCGCCCGCTAATTTGCACACAAGGTCTCGAAGTTGCGTTGTCGTGCGTCGCATTCCCAGCTACAGTGCAGTGGTCACGTCGTTCAAACCCCACCCAAACCGTCGTTCAGTTTTTTTACGGTGAACTTCGGCCAACCAAAATCGCCCGGGGCAGACGACAGCACGCGATGCACTTGCCGGCTGATCATTGACAAAACGAACGACAATTGCGAGCTTTGCGAGCCAACCACCACTACCATCCCTGCCATTCGAGCACCATCGCCTTCCCATATGATCGCATGCAGATCTAAACGCTCGCCAGGAAAGTCTGCGACGAAGGCAAATCTTGGAATCGAAATTTACATTTCCGCCAACCAAACCCCGATTTCTTCAAAGAAGCCTCGAGGAGGCCATCCCGCGCCGCAATTCAATGTTTGCTCTTCGAACCTTGGAAATGTCATGTCGTCCATTCTACTGCACTAGCTCACTGATCAGTGTGTCAGGAACTCGGCAATAATTGTTCTGGTCGTGTTAGCCAAGGAAGCCCTGGTTACGAGAGGAAGCTAGGGATAGCTCGTCAAGCTGTGCTGCACTTGCGGAAGCACGTCCACTAGATATAAAACAGCACGGCACCGTAGTACACGTGGCGAAGTTTCATCGTGTTGACTGAAAGCACCGAGGGGACACCCAGTGGTTTTGGAATTAAGCAAGCTCATGGTTCGGGCCAATGTCTCCGCTGCAGCTGCCGCAGCTGCCAGGAGTTTCGTCAGGGAAATCTAGCGGCACCCATACCCTTGACGCCGAAACCAAGGAGGAGATAGCGGCCGTCGGTTCTCCTGACGAGCCGTCGCATTCCGATCTGCTCACGAAGCGAAAGAGAGTCAACCCCCAGCCCGACGCTGCTAACTGCACGCCAACTACTAGTAACTACCATAGCCCGCCGCCGCCGTTTCGTTATGACGAACCCAGCTGCATTAGCGGATCTGCTTTTAGTGAAGCGCCGGCGTGTTTCAAAGAAATGTCTGACGCGCCGACGGACGCTAACGTGCTGACCAGCCGCGGACAACCGAGTTCTATCAGCAGCCATGTCGCAGTCGCTACCTCTTGTCTACATGCGCATCAGGATAGCGCTGGAGGTTCGGCAACCGCGAGAACGTGTCTTACTGCAGTAATGGCTGCAGAAGGTGAAGACTTTGCAAAGGCTTCCGCTCGTCCTGGCTTATCAAACGGCGGAAGCTTTGTGGCTCCCGCGATTTGCCAAGGACTGGAAGCAACAAGCGCAAGCAGAGACGCGGAAGCAGCAGGAATCGCCGCGGAGGACGCAACGGGAACGGCGGCGGGAGAAGCAGCAGGAGCGCCCGACGCGATTGGAGCGTCCACCCCGCCTCGTGAGGCGAACCCGGCCAGTCCGTCGCATGCTCTCCGCGCGAGCCTCTCCGCGCCCCCGCGCATGCTGAGCAAGAAGCCGCCCGACAGCATGCCGCTGCTGCGCCTACCGCTGGGCCTGTCGCCGTCCGCTTGGCCGCAAGGCTCTGCAGTGAAACGGCAGCTTGGCCGAGATAACACGAGGCGAGATGACACGCGGCTGGATTTGACTATGCAGGGACTAAGCTCTCAACAGGGAGGGGGATCGGACGGTTCAGATGGTCCTTGCTGGAAGAAGCGCGCCGTTGGGGGTGATTCGCCGGGCGTACCCGCTGTTGCGCTGACCGCGGGTATAACGTCCTCGGGTATAACGTCCCCGGGTGCACCATCCTCGGTATTATCTGTTCCGACTCCAACAGCCGTCGCGTCAACTTATGTCGTCTCCCCGTCCTCTTCCTCCGCCTCTCCGCTCCGCCTTCCCTCTCCACTTCGCCTCCCCTCCCCCTTCCGCCTCAACTCCCCTCTGCGCTTCTCCCGCCGATCTTCCCCGGCCCTTGCGCCGGTTCCTGGCGGTCACGCCCTCCCAGTCCCCCCGGGAACCCCGAATAACGGCGCGCCACCTTTCCTCTCGCAACCGTCAAACTCCCCCCTTGGGTTGTCGCTTCCCTCCACCAGCACCTCACCCAGCCCTCACGCTGCGCGGGCGCAAGGTCCACTTCCGCCGCTGTCCCTTCCGCCCCCCGCTGCCCCTCTCCCCTCTCCGCAACCTTCCCCCGCGCCGACTCCCGACGGCGGGTGGCCGGGAACAGCTGGCGCAAGTCCGCGCAACCCTCCGAACCAGGGGGGACCGCAAGATCCTGCCAATTCCCCACACTACCGCGGGGTGCGGTTGCGCCCATGGGGAAAATGGGCGGCGGAAATCCGCGATACCGCTAACAGCGCGCGCCTGTGGCTGGGCACGTTCCCCACGGCGGAAACGGCGGCGCTGGCGTATGACGTGGCAGCGATGGCGATTCGAGGAAACAAGGCGAAACTTAATATGGAGCAGCACAGAGAGCTGGCGAGCGAGGTTCGCGATCTGGTGAGAACGCTGAAAGCGGCGGCAAAGGCGGCGCAGGATGCGGCGGCGGCGCGCGCGTATGCGGAGGCGATGGCGGATGCTGGCGGAGAGGAGGGAAAGCCGCTAGAGCTGAAGAGCGAAACCGCGACAGGGAACGGCGAGGATCGAGCAGCGAACGGCGACACTTTGAGTGAACGGCTGGGAATGGTCAGGGATGGTGACAATGGTTTAGAGGCATCTCAAAACGAGGGGGGCGGAAACGAGAAGTCGGCGGGTCGGGAAGGCGGGAAATATGCGGCGGTGGTGGAAGGTACAGGCGGAACGCGCAACGCGCAGGAGAAAGACCGGATGACGGAACCGCGAATCGGGCAGGGAAACGGGCAGGAGAACGGGCAGGCGACCGGGCAGGAGAACGGGCAGGGAAACGGGCAACTCCCAATGCTGCGACAGGCCCCGCCACAGGCGCCGCTTCTCCACGTGGTGATGGGGAAGGTGGTTACCACTATGGTGGATAAGTATGGCGGGGGGATGGGGAATTGGAGCAGGGCCGTTGGCGCTAATCAGGGCGCGCTGGGGAGCGGGGGAAGCGGGGGAGGCGGAGGAAGCAGCGGGGGAAGCGGGGGAAGTGGAGCTCCTGAGGGTATTGGGGCAGGGGGGGGAGTTGGGGGAGGTGCGGCGAATGGGGGAAATTGGGGGAATGGGGAGACAAAAATGGGTGCCGTGGGAGGGGGTGCTGTGGGTGCAGATATGGGAGGGGTTGGAGGGAACGCGGGGCAGCAGGTGGACAGGAAAGAGTTGGTTACATCCCCCTTACAAGCTCTCTCGTTAAACCAGGGAGTCTCGCCCATGCAATGCCAGGCCTCCTTCATAGAAAGGAACACGTCCCCTGTACTACCCCAAGTGAAGGTCGAGCACGTTCCTGCTTTTATCGAGTCAGCTTACAAAGGTTCGGTGTTGCAAACAGGAGGGCAGTTCGTGAGTGGAGCAACTGCGTTTGCTGGTAACCATGTAACCAGTTCGTGTGTGGTTGCACCCAGCGTCACACCTCCGCCTGTAGCTGTACCGAGTGTGCTTTCAGGGGGGATGACAGGGACGCACTCAGAGCCGCCCGCACCTTCTAAGACTGCGTTTAAGGGGGAGGCTTGTAGAGGGGATGGGGGGAGCAGCAGCAGCAGTAGCAGCAGCGGTGGCAGAAGCAGCAGGCAGAGTGGGGGCGAGGAGATGGGTGATGGCATAGGGGGCAGGAATGGCATGGATGGCATGGGGGGTGGGGCAGGTGAAGCAGAGAGGATGGAGGTGGATGGACGGACACAGGAAGCAGGGCGAAGCTTTGAAGGGTTGGTGGGCACGGTGCAATGTGCGTTTGAACATCTCACTCCTAAATCGCCTCACCTTATGCAGCAGGGCGGTGGCGGGAACGCTGGGGTATTATTTGGCAGTGAGCGAACGACGACACCTGGCATGGTATCAGGGTCTCGTGGCGTGGATGATGTGCCACGTGGCATGGTATCAGCGTCACGGGGCATGGATCAAACGCCACGTGGCGTTGCACAGGCGCCTGCTTGCCTGTGCCACCACACCCACGTGAACATGCAGGCACACACCCATGCTTCTGTTTCTGAGGCGCCTCAGAATCATGTGCACTTGCATGCGCAAACCCGTGCATTTGATGACACACGCACTCAGCCTTGCACTTTGTCACTCCCTCAGCCTCACTCTCAGTCACACACTCACTCACAGACTCACTCACAGACTCACTCACACACTCAGTCACACACTGAGCCACACTCACAGCCTGCAGTGCTGCAGCCTTACCACACCCACGATCATCCCAGCAGCACGAGCTATCCCACACAGTCGTTAGACATGCCACCTGTAGCAGCATTGCAAGCGCCCATGCTACCCCCACCTGTCATGCAAACGCCCTTGCTGACCTCCCCTGCTGGTGCTGCTTCAGGTGGTTCTTCAGGCGCGGCTTCTGTCGCCCCTTCAGGTGTTGGCACAGGTGTTCCTTCAGGCGGTCCTTCAGGTGGTGCTTCAGGTGGGTTTTCAGCTCAACCCCCTGCCGAACGACCGGGATGGCATTACACAGAATCTCATCGAGCAACAGAGAAAGCAGCAGAGGAGATTGGCAGCATAAAGAAAGAGAATGTCGTCTCTACTGGTGGAGGAGGAGGAGGAGAAGGAGGAGTAGAAGGAGGAGGAGGAGGAGGAGGAGGAGGAGGAGGAGGAGGAGGAGGAGGAGGAGGAGGAGGAGGAGGAGGAGGAGGAGGAGGAGGAGGAGGAACGGGGATAAGCGGGCTCGCCCAGGGTACCAGCCTCGGCGATCCCAGGTTCGGGGCCGAAAATCACAGGCTCGGGATTGAGGACCTCAGGTTTGGGATCCTTCCAAACCAGGAGGTTGATGGGGAGGACGAGCCGTGCCTGCTGCCCATGCCTGATGGTCAGGAATGGGAAAGGTTCGGTTCGGACCTGCCGTACCCACCCGAGCAGGCTTTTTCTGGGTGGCGGTTAGTGAGTGACTCAGTAACGGAGACAGGCACAGAAACCACAGGAACCGTGCCTACAGTAACAGCTGTTACTGATACAGGCGCCACTGTAACGAATACAGGTGGCACTGTAACGGATTGTGAGGGCCTGAGCAGTGACTTCAAAGGGCTGACTTGTTCCGGGCAGAGGGGAGGAGGGGGAGGAGGGAGAGGAGGGGGAGGAGGAGGGTTTAACCAGGTCGGAGCGACACTAACCCTTGAGACTCCTGAGAGGTCTCTGACCTGTTCTGCTAGGAGCGAAGGGGTGAGAGGTGATAGCGTGCCAGCATCAGCGCGTTTTGAGACGCCAGAGACGTTAGAGAATCCTGTGAGAGGCTCTGGGAGGAAGGAGGGGGTGAGTGGAGGGGTGAGAGCGGCAGGAATCAGGACTGCCCACTTCCGCCCTAACGCTGCCATTGTGGAGGCACTCAGGAACGGTGAGGGACGGTTGGATGGGGTGGAAGCACCGATGGCGCCTCAGAATATGATTAACTTACAGCAAGGATTGGTGCAGCACGGTGGGGTGCAGCAAGGTGGGGTTCAGCAAGGTGGGGTGCAGCACAGTGTGGTGCAGCAAGGTGGAGTGCAGCAGGGATTGGTGCAGCAAGGTGGGGTGCAGCACGGTGGGGTGCAGCAAGGTGGGGTGCAGCACGGTGGGGTGCAGCACGAAGCAGGTCAGAGGCAGCCGCAGCAGTGGCAGCAACAACAGGACCAGCAGCAGCAACAGCTGCAACAGTGTCAGCAGCAGCAGTATCAGCAGCAGCAGCAGTATCAGCAGAAGCAGCAGTTTCAACAGCAGCAGCAGCAGCAGCAGCAGCAGCAGCAGCAGCAGATGCAGCAGTATCAGCAGCAACAGCAGCAGCAGTATCCGCAGCAGTTTCAGCAGCAGCAGCAGCAGCAGCAACAGTATCAGCAGCAGCAATATCAGCAGCAACAGCAGCAGTATTATCAGCAGGAGCAGCAGCAGCAATATCAGCAGTCTCAACTGCAGCAGTATCAGCAGTATCAGCAGCAGCAGCAGCAGCAGCAGCAGCAGCAGCAGCAGCAGCAGCAGCAGCAGCAGCAGCAGCAGCAGCAGCAGCAGCAGCAGCAGCAGCAGCAGCAGCAGCAGCAGCAGCAGCAGCAGCAGCAGCAGCAGCAGCAGCAGCAGCAGCAGCAGCAGGAGCAGCAGCAGCAGCAACAGAATAACCAGTGGCATAGACACCAGCAGCAAGAACAACATAACCATTCTCAGCAGCAACAGCAACAGCAGCAACAGCAGCCGCAGCCGCAGCATCAGAGCAACCCAATCCACTCACAGCAACAGGCAGAAGGGAAGCATGAGCAGCAGGAGAGCTCATGTGTGGAGCCGCAGTGCCAGTGCTGCCAACCCATGTACCGGCGAGAGCGAAATGAACCACATAAGCAACTGCAGCAGCAGCAGCAACAGCAAAGGCAGCAGGAGCAGCAACAGCGGCAGGAGCATGGGAAGCAGAGCCAAGGGCACATGGAGCAGCAGCAGCAGAGCCAGCAGCAGCAAGGGCAGCAGCAGCAGAGGCAGTATCAGCCAATCCAGCAGCAGCAAAGCCAGTATCAGCAGAGGCAACATCAGCCTCAGAGCCAGCAGCAGCTGCAGCAGAGCGAGCAACAGCAGAGCCACTACCAGCAGAACCAGCAGCAGAAACAGCAGCAGCAGCAGCAGCAGCAGCAGCAGAGCCAGCAGCAGCAGAACTACCAGCAGCAGCAGAACCAGCAGCAGCAGCAGCAGCATAATCAACAAGAGCAACTTTATCATCATCATCATCAGCAGCAGCAGCATCAGCAATACCAGCAGCCGCAGCAACAGCAGCATAATCAGCAGCAGCAACAATACCAGCAGTATCAGCCGCAGCAACAACAAGGCCTGCAGCTGCAGCAGCAGCAGCTGCAACAGCAGCAGCAGCAACAGCAATACCTGCAGCAGCAGCAGCAGCAGCAGCAGGGACAGCAGCAGCATAATGAACAGCAGGAGCAGTATCGCCAGCAGCAGCCATACCAGTTGCAGCAGCAACAAAAACAGCAGCAGCAGCAACAGCAGCAGCAGCAATACCAGTTGCAGCAGCAGCAGCAATACCACCAGCAGCAGCAATACCAGGAGCAGCAGCTGCCGCAACAGCAGGGACAGGCGCAATCACAGGGTTATGGATACCACCAGTCAGGCCATTCTGACCATTCTCTGCCATGCACCTGTAAACCCTCCGAGTGTTCGCACTCAAATCACACCAGCCATACCGTACCTGCTGCTGCTGCCACACCTGCTACGCCCGCTACAGCTGGCGCTGCTGCTACAGCTGCTGCTGCAACTGCTATAGAGGCTGTGGCTCGTGAAACACAAGTTTCAGCAGCCGCAGCCACAGCTGTAGCCACAGGCACGATTGGACCCTCTTCACTGGATAACCAGCAGCACCAGGGTTTTTATCCTGCTACAGCTGCTGCTACATCTGCTACTGCTGCTACAGGTGCCGCTACAGCTTCTGCTACAGCTGCCGCAACATATGCTGCAACAGCTTCTGCAAACGTTCAGGCAGTAGAAAAACAGGGTGCTTCTGGAATTTCCGCTCCTCGCTGCAGCTGCTGTAGCGGAGAAGCTAATCACACTGTGACTCATGGCATGCCACCTGGGAGCATGCCACCTGGCAGCATGCCACCTGGCAGCATGACTGAAAGCATGCCTGGGAGCATGCAGGCGAATACTGTTCATGGGTCATGTGGTGCTGTGCAGGAGAGTCATGCCTCTTCTCGTCGCAGTGGCATGCATGGTGGCATGCAAAACACGCATGGAGCCATGCAAAGCATGCACGGTGGTGGTATGCAAAGCATGCATGGCACCATGCAGGAAACGCACGGTGCGATGCAGCACAGCATGCAGGGCCCTCAGTCGTGGCCCATGCCCATGCACCCATCACCTCATGGATCACCCCTGCCTCCCACATCCCACCTTCCCAGCACCACACGCAGCAAGAGTCTATCTTCCCTCCCTCCCCACCTCCAGCCACACCCCATTGCTGCCAGAAGCTTCTCCTCTAAGCACGCCCACCAGGACCCCCACCACTCTCGTTACAGTCACAGCAACAGCAGCAGCAACTGTGACAAAATCGGGGGTTTCTCTCCCAGCCCTGCCGCTTTATATGCTCTCAGTAGCTACGAAACAGCCTGCCTTGCACCACCTTCGGGGGAACCGGTTCACAACTACTCAACTGCTTCCCACCACCAACACCAGCAGAACCCTCTCCAACCACCCCACCTTCCTAGCACAGCTCTCAACCGAACTGCACCAGCTTCTCCTTCACCCGCCTCTCTTCCCACACCTGCTTATCCTCAAGGCATCTCTACGCACATTCATGCATCCAACCAGGCATTTCTCCCATCCTACCCCACCCAGGGAACATCTGCCCCCGGGTTTTCTGCCCCCATCTCCCTGCCTCCTGCGTCCACGAGTCCACAGCCGTATCATCAAAACAGCAATACCGCCACTGCACCACATCACAACACTCCTTTTTACCAGAGCAGAAATACCACAATCTCACCACAGCCTATTTACCATCACCCCAGCACGACTTTTGAGGCGCCCCAAAAGACTGTCCCTGTTTCCCATCCTCCTGCCACCACGCCTTCCCAGTTCAGTTCTCATCACAGCAACAACACCCTCCCACAGTCTATTTATCAAGCCAACACGGTCAACAACACCAACAGCACCATGCCTGCACAACCTGTCCATCAGAGAAACACTATGTCGCCTTACCCTCCGCCTATTTATCACACCACCAACAACACCCCTGCACCTTTACCCGGTGCAGGTGCATCATACCCAGGTGCATCTCACTTATCCTCTTTCGTTCACCCCTCTCCCTCTCCTCCTGCTGCTCTTCATGCGTCCTCTGCCGCGGCACCTGAATTTTCACCTGAACGCTCAACTGCCCCACCTGAAATCCCACCTGCCCACCTTTCCTTTGAGACCGCCTCACATATTCCCCAACCGTCACACTACCCCACCGCACCCATTCCCACTCCCACCCCAGCCCTTTCCGGCCCTCCATTCTCCACCGCACCCCACTCCTTCCAATCCCAATCCTCTCTCTCAGCACCCCCTCGCATCCCTCCCCAGCCTGCTTCCGACCCGTTCTTCTCCCCCTCTCCTTCCACCACTCCCCCATCCTCCTCCTCCCCAATCCTTCTAGCCACCGACCCTCAGCAAAAGCACACACCCGTGTCCCACTCATCGGCTCGTGTGCTCATTTTCAGCGATCCCTCCCCGTCCCCTGCTCATTCCTCTGCTGCATTCGAGAACGAAACTCAAGGCTCTGCTGCTACCAAAGGCCCTGGTATCTCCCCTGCACCTGCACCTGCATCTGCTCCTGCTCTTGATCCTGCTCCTGCTCCTAGTAGTGCACAGACCTGGAGTCAGGTAACCCCTGAAAGTGGTCATCGTCAGTTGGGGCATTCCGGTATATTATCCCCTTCGGCTTCTTCCAGCCCACTGGATTTCTCCCTCTCAGCCAAACCCGATTCCTCTCCTGCTGCGCTGACAGCACCGGAACAAGCTCCTTCCCTCCTTGTTCAACCTATATCAGCAGCTGCAGCACCAGCACCAGCACTTCCACACACTCATGCACAATCCGCAGCTCCTTCAGCTGATTCTCCCCTTCATCCCACTCCTCCTTCAGGGAGCGGCTTCGGTCATATGGCCTTACCCAGCCTTCCCCTCTCCCCTCCACCTCACCCTGTTGCTAACATTCCCATTGCCTTCAACACTGCTCAAAATCAATCAGGGAGGGTGGAGCTAGAGCCTTGGCAAGGGGAGGCATGGCCTGGGGAGGGCTTATCTAGTGAAGGCTTCTTTATTGAGGAGTTTAATGGGCCAGATAGGTGGGCCGGAGACGGGTGGCTAGGAGGAGCATGGGAAGCCGATTGGACGGGAGAAGGGTCGCAGGGAAGCGGAGGTGGATAAGGAAGTGCATCTCATGGTGGGTTAGGACTCGCATAGCGAGTTTGTGGTTTTATAGGACAAGCCCAATATATGGTAAGGTGCTGATTTGTTGGGAATAAGCTTAATGCATTCCCCTCATGCATCTGTGTGTATAGGAGTAGGAATAAATAGGATTTGACTTGATGTGTTATTGAGTGTTTGTGGTTTGTGTTGAGTACAAAACACTTCTTATAACAGCTACAGCAACATTCTGCTTTAAAATACCAGTACCAGCCCTACTCGTTGTCAGGACCCCACCGAGCCCACTGACCAGCAAACCTCTTTCTACCTTCCCGCCAACTACCCGTGTTACCATCGCCTCGAGCATGTCGCTGCGCCCTCGCTTCCGTCGCTAGGACCTCGGGATCGTCGCCCAACCTCTGACTGTCTGGCAACCACCAATTCGCTTCAGCCGACGCAGGCGTGGTCGGGCTTGGGACAAAATCACCGATCTCATCCCAAGGTTTCAGGTTGTGTCATGTCATGAGTGAACTTCAGCGCTTAAGAACGGTTTTATACGGTGAAATAGCAGCTTGGCGGAGTTGTGAGCGAAAACGAGCCCTCACGGTAACCTCCATGGAAACCCGCATCAGTGAAGTCAAGTTGAATTCAAGGGTGAATCTTCCGAATTCTAGGCTAGGACGTCCCTGCTTTTGACAAGTCACCTTGTCGTCCTTCAGCAGGATCTTGCTTTGTTCTTATGACTTAGGACCGGGAACAGCTACTTAATCTTGTATTTTGTGATCGGAGGGTGGTCGCGTTCGGCGGACCCGTTTGCAACTAAGGCTTCTTAGTCTGCATAGTTCTGACCTTGGCTTAACGGCTGTCAGATCTCGTCAGCATGGCTCTGACATTCAGTTTACGTTGTAGGGTGCTTGTTGCTGCTCTCCTGGCGGCTGTCATTGTCGCCGATGCTAGTGCAAGCGACCATAGATATGGCCAAGGGGACAAGGTGCCTTTCTACGCGAACAAAGTCGGTCCTTTTCACAACCCGAGGTGCGACGCTGTGTTTCTGATTCGTCGCTTCGTTGATGATTCGTTGGCGATCCGTTGGCGGTTCCGTGACGCTCGTCTTCTCTGTCTGATGACGCCTGACGCTTTGATGACGCTGGGAAAAGTCTCACTCTTTCTAAGTTTCCGTTCTAACTTGCTGTGGTTCATTCGAGGATCTTTTGCATGTGTCTCCTGAATTCGGATTTCCTACTCGTGAAGCTAACGTAGGCGTATTTCCTGTTAATCGTTTTGGACCCATCTTGTTTTTCGCAGCGAAACGTACAAGTTCTTCGATCTGCCGTTTTGCCAGCCAGGTCCGTCTCCCGTTCATAACGTGTTGCGTTTTGTGATAATAGTAAATGCTTACCGTTCATGCTTGCTAACCTGCTCTTCCAACTCCCCTGTTTCAACGACGTTCGCGCATCCGAAGCTATCGCGCATTCGAAACTAACTTCGCCGTTTTACGCTCATTCTTCGTCTCCTGTATGTTTGTTCAGGGAAGATCAACGAGAAGCTTGAAGACCTCGGCGAGGTTCTGAACGGCGATCGCATGGTTCAGGCCCCTTACGAGCTGAACTTCCGCGTAGATCACGAACGCACCACACTCTGCAAGCGAACTCTCGCCGTTAAGGACGTCCAGAAGTTCCGCGATGCGGTCATGAACGACTACTATTTTCAGATGTACTACGACGATCTCCCGATCTGGGGTTTCATCGGCAAGGTCGACACGGATCCCAAGAACCAGCACTTTTTCCTCTTCACGCACGTGCATTTTGAGGTAGAGTACAACAACGACCGCGTGGTGGAGATCAGCGTGGCGACTGATGCGGGTACCGCGGTGGACATTACCGAGGATAAGGAGATGGAGGTGGAATTCACGTATTCCGCCAAGTGGAAGCAGACGGACAAGTCGTTTGACAAGCGCATGGACAAGTACTCGCGCTACTCGTTCCTCCCGCAGCATCTGGAGATCCACTGGTTCTCGATCATCAACTCGTGTGTCACGGTGCTGCTGCTTACCGGATTCCTGGCGACCATTCTCATGCGCGTCCTCAAGAACGACTTCATCAAGTACGTTGATTCGACTCATAAGGTAGGTGACACGATTTTGTTAAGGTGCTGCTGATTACCGGTTTGCTGGTGACCATTCTCATGCGCGTCCTCAAGAACGACTTTATCAAGTACGTTAACGCAATATTATCAGGTACGAAACACGAAATTTTGAACGTTGACTTCCTAGGCGAACGAATGTTGCAGAAGCGAAACGATTTTACCAAGTACGCCTGTCGACTTCTTTCTCAAAAAAGGAAAAAAGTTTCTAGGCGAACGAATGTTGCAGAAGGGTCACCTTTAATGATCGATTTTGCCGTTTCCTGTTCGACTCAGCGCTGCATTTGCTTCATCGGGGTGTGGTAGAAAAATGCCGATCTGGTTCAAGTAGTCGCCGTACAGGAGGGTTTGTTGCTGCAGTGGGTCTCACGGGAGTCGCCTGCATCTTTTCTGCGTGATCCAGGTACTCGCGTGACGAGGAGTCGTCCGAGGAGCAGGAGGAGACCGGTTGGAAGTACATCCACGGCGACGTCTTCCGCTTCCCCAAGAACAAGGACTTCTTCTGTGCCGTTCTTGGCAGCGGCACTCAATTGCTCTTCCTGTAAGTTCGGTTGCTTCACACTGAGAGTCTCTTTCTGAAGGCCTTGCTTTTGAACTCGGTTTGGTCTGGTTACATTTAGCATCATGCATCGTTGATCAGAATCATGTAGCTGCGTCTTATCTTTTTGGGCCCCAAATCCGTGTCTTTTTCCACGCCTGCTCTTCCTTCAGGGTCATTTTCATCTTTATCCTCGCGCTTGTCGGCGTGTTTTACCCCTACAATCGCGGTGCTCTGTGGACGGCGCTGGTGGTGATCTATGCGTTGACCTCTGGAATTGCTGGGTACACAGCTGCATCTTTCTACAAGCAGATGGAGGGCACCAACTGGGTGAGTGCAATGCTATTTTTTGAACCGACCAGGGATGCATAGAAAGCGGACCAAAGATAGCTGTAGTGATGCATGAAATTCTGGTATAACAAACACGCAGGTTAAGGTATTCGTTGGACGCCCTTCGGCTAAAAACAACATAAGGGTTAGGAACACGGGAGCAAGGGTTCTCTATACATTGCATGGATCGGCGGCTGGCCTGCACAGTAACTTGCTTTTGTTGCTCCACAATGTGATGCTATGAGCATCATTGCTCCCTAGGTCCGTCCGTGTGGCGTATCAAACTCTTGCCAAACTTACCCACTGATCTAGCCGCTCATCCAGTTCCACATCCATTCATCCCCACCTTCCCCATCTCTCCTCCTCTTCCCCCCATCTGTTCTTTCCCCGCCCGATCGCCTGCAGGTGCGCAACATTCTGCTGACGGGGTGCATGTTCTGCGGGCCGGTGTTCATCTCCTTCTGCTTCCTCAACACCGTCGCCATCGTCTACAACTCCACCAACGCCAAGCCCTTCGGCACCATCGTCATCATCATCCTCATCTGGGCGCTCATCACCTTCCCCCTCCTCGTGGCCGGCGGTATCGCCGGCAAGAAGAGCAACGCGGAGTTCCAGGCGCCCTGCCGGACGACTAAGTACCCGAGGGAGATTCCGGTGCTGCCCTGGTATCGCCACACTGTGCCTCAGATGGCCATGGCTGGGTTCCTGCCGTTCAGCGCGATTTATATCGAGCTGTATTACATCTTTGCGAGCGTGTGGGGGCACAAGGTGTACACGATCTACAGCATCCTCTTTATAGTGTTCATCATTCTCATCATTGTGACAGCGTTCATCACGATTGCGCTCACGTACTTCCAGCTTGCTGTTGAGGACCACGAGTGGTGGTGGAGGTAGGATATGCACCGACCCTTAAACCTCTAGTCATTCTCAGCCTTTCAATCTCCCTTGTCTTTATTGCTTCCTGGTTGTCCTCAAGCATGACGCTGTTTCCGGTCTTCTCCAGTCCAGGCAAGCTCAAGCTCCATGCTCCTGTAGCTCCTTCGTGCTCTTCTTCTACTTGTGCTGCTTCTACTACCACTGCTCACACTCCCATTCCCCCAATTTCTTTCCCTTTCCCTTCTCCCTTTCCCCTCAATCAGGTCTGTGCTGTGCGGTGGGTCCACCGCGCTCTTCATCTTTGGCTACTGCTTCTACTACTACTACGCTCGCTCCGACATGACCGGCTTCATGCAGACGTCTTTCTACTTTGGCTTCATGGCCTGCGTCTGCTACGGCTTCTTCCTCATGCTCGGCACCGTCGGGTTCCGCGCCTCGCTGTCGTTCGTGCGCCACATCTACCGCTCGATTAAGTGCGAGTAAGTGTTTTCTATGAGAGGAGGGGAGGGAGCAGGGAGGGGATGGAAGGGAAAGGAGGAGGTTAAGGGCTTCTGCGCCTCCCTGTCGTTTGTGCGCCACATCTACCGCTCCATTAAGTGCGAGTAAGTGTTTCTTATGGGAGGAGGGGAGGGAGCAGGGAGGGGATGGGAGGGAAAGGAGGAGGTTAAGGGCTTCCGCGCCTCCCTGTCGTTCGTGCGCCACATCTACCGCTCGATGTGCGAGTAAGTGTTTCCTATGGGAGAGGAGGGAAGGGAGCTGGGGGGGGAGGAAAGGGGGAGGAAAAGAGCAGTGGCTTTTTCACCTCTCTGCCGTTCGTGCGCCTCATCTACCACTCTAATATGTTGGAGTAAGTGCTCCGGGGAGCAAGGAGAGGGAGCAGCAGGAGAGCGGAGGGATAAGGGTAGGACTGTGGGTGGTTGAGGGATGATTGGGGTGGTGTTTTGGGAAGAGTATGGGCTCCTCTCTATCAAGTGCGAGGAAGCACGTTCCAGGAAGTCTATTTCTGAGGCGCCTCAAAAATAGTGCAAGGAAGTATGTTCCAGGAAGGATTGGGGCTGATGGGAGGGGGAGAGAAGTGGGTGTTTGAGGGTGGTCTGGGGCGGTTTGGGGAGGTTCTTTGGCGGAAACTCAGGGCTCTCAGGCTTAGTACACCACATCTACCGCCCCTTCAAGTGCGAGTGAGTGTTCATTTGTAAAGGAGGGAATGAGGGGGACGGGGTGGGCGGCAATGTATGGGAGAGAGCTGGGGCTTCTGGGCCCCACTCTCCTTCGTGTGCCACATCTACCCCCCCCCTCCTCTCCTTCCCCTCCCTCCCCCCCCCCCCTTCCCCTCCCCTCTCCATCAAACCCCCATATAATGTAAGTTGGTGGCTCTTACAGGGGGGAGAGAGAGGGGGTAAGTGCGAGTAACTGATGGTTGTGAGGGGGGTGGTGTGGATTATAGGGGACGAGTTACCTACCAAGTGGTTATTTCGTGGGGGAGGAAGGTTGGGAGTAGGGAGGAGGAAGTGGGAGATGGACAGGGAGAGATAGCGTTTGAGGTGTTCGTTATGTTTATTTTTCCTTTTCCTTCAAAAAAAAAAAAAAAAAAAGAACTCACATCAGCTCGCGGTTTCCCTCTCGTCCCCCACCCATTCTGATGCTCCCTTGCAGCTGAATGGCCGAGGCCTTGGGAGGGAATGTGGGAATGCTGGCCTGAAAGGAAAAGGTGATGCAAGATGCAATGTTAGCTTAGTAATGCACTTGTGGCATGCATGGTTATGTTTTTGTACTAAACATGTTGGATGTTCTTTGCTAGATATTAGGGCTAACGTTTAAGACTAGTTTGGAGCAACCGTTTTACAGTTACGTCTAAACTTCACTTATCAGCACACACCACCACAAGCAGGGCTTGATATGGATCATTTGGGACCTTAGCAGCTAACCAAGGTTTTTCTTGCAATGCTGGTGTACCACGAGTTAGCAAATGGACCATTCGTCCCATTCACCAACACTCGATACAAGACTGCGGGCGTACGACTGGTTGGTAGTCTTCGGCAGATGAAATCCCCGTTATCAGCATAGCTCCTTCCCGCCACTATTTTCCTTTCGGTGGTCGCGTCAACTTCTAGGCTGAATGACAACCCCAAGGCAGAATGACAGGCAACGCATTCCTTCTAGATTCTGCTTTCAGTCGCGCTAGTTATTTCGAACCACGCCAGTTTGTGTTAGTGATAGTCTCGCCCGCTCTTAATGACTAACTTAGAGGCATTGTAGCGAATGGTTGACGGTTCGCGCGTCGTTAGAGTTTCTAGTTCAAATGCTGCTTCGCATTTCTAGCGAGTCACGTTGACTCATATTTACGATACTCGTGTAGAAACTGTAACGCGAAATGTCATGATGGCCCGGACAATAGGAGCGCGACGTTCACTTATAAGAGGTCGTAGTACGGTGCTTGCACCGCGTACGGAGATATTGAGGCAGCAAACGAAGCCTAAGCGGTTCATGCTGTTTCAGCAGCTACGGAAGCACAAGGATACGTCATCCCGAAAGCTGTCGACGCTGTCGCATCAGCGCCGTAGGCGTGCTGAAGCGGGAGCTTTCGTTGTTGTCACATCAGAGCCGTTGGCGGGCTATCAGTGTAGTCGTCGTGCATTTGCGTCAAGATAGAAGCACCTTAAGGGAGGAGAGGGTGCAAAAAGGGAATCCTTTCAGTTAATCATGGGAAGGATCATTCAATTCGGCAAGCCCGGTAGTCTCCGCTGGCGTGCCATCACTGTGGATAACGACGGACGTGGCGTGTCCACGTGGCACCACGTCCCGCTCAACGCCTCCCCAGGACACCATGTCAGCGGCCGGACCGACTTGGGAGCTTCGTATCTGTCCCCAGTTGGGGGATACGCTTCCAGCGTGGCAGAATGCGATTGGACAGAACCTTCCAGTGCGCCTTTGCTCCATATGGTGGTTACCACGCCACGTGGCTCATGGTTACGGGTGGAACCTGCTGCTGACGAAGACTTTACTCCATTGCGGATAGCTGCACGGGATGGCAGGCCGTCTCACTACTCCCATAACGCACCTTACAACATCGGGTTTCTTCCTCAGACGTGGGTTCAAACCAGCAGCAGCGGTTTTGTCAGCAGTGGCAGCAACAGCAGCAGAAGCAGCAGCAGCAAGAAGAACAGGAGCAGTGAATTTTCAGCCAGTAACGATTCCTATTTCAGTAACATCACTAATCCTACCCACCCCGCATTTGGTAACCCTGTTACTGGCAACGGTGTTTCGCCCTATCAAGCCGTCCAATCAGGGGCGCCGATGCAGGCAGTGGAAATCAGCGGAGCAGCAGCCCTCCCAGGGGATGTTCTTATAGTGAGGGTTCTTGGAGCGTTCGCTACAGTGAGGGATATAGCTCCTGACGCAATTTCCTGGAAACTTGTGACCTGTGCAGTTCCGGAATTTCATAATCAGCAGCAGATGGAGCGTGAATCAGGTCACATGGGGGAGCAAGGGAAATGGTCTATGATATCCGGGGAGATTAAAGACATACAGGATTTAGAAGCTAAAGCGCCTGGCGTGGTGGATAGTGTACGGAATTGGCTGGAAACTTGCGACCAGATTCACCCTGGCGACTCTCCCGTCTCTTTCGAGCTTTCCGGGCAGCTTGCGCCCCCGCGAACAGCTCTCAACGCTGCCTGGAATGCTGCCCAAGCGTGGGGTGTGATGACTGCGGATGGCCGGGCGGTCAGACCGGTCCACGTGGCGTTTTCTCGGGCAGGAGGGATGCTCCCGACACACCGGGCAGACGTTGAAAAAATCTGGGAGGCGAGCTACCTGGAGAACCTCAGCTTAGCATCAATTCCATTGAGCTGCCCGGAGAAAGATTCCAGCGTCAGCGGCACTGCTGGTAGCAGAGGGACCACCACTGCAGATTCACCACTGCAATCAGCATCACCACTAGCATCATCATCAGCGCTACCACCATCAAGACGATCCTGCCCTTCTCTCTCCTCCTCTTCCGCTGTCTCATCACACCACCATTTCAACCTTTCTCCTCCCACTTCCTCTTTCCACACAGCAGCATTCGTAGCAGAACCGCCCATACCCCACAGCACTGCACAGAACGCCCCACGCACCCCCACTGCTCGCCACAGCCACAAGCATCAGCTCATGGCTAAACTCTTTTCCAAGCTGCCCAACTCGCACTCTGGGCAGGAGAAAGAAAATCATCGGCACAGGCAGCAGCAGCAAGAAGCTTCCGCCCAGTTTCAGGAGAGCCGGTACGTGTCGTTGCCGCAAGAAGGAAGCTTCCTCTCTACTTCCCAGCCAACCAGCTCGAACCATATCCCAACCACCAACCCCAGGCCTTCACAGGTGTTTCCCCACCCGCAAGGCTCACAGGGGGACCGATTAAGGAGTGTAGCAGGGGGCGAGAGGATAGTGGCGGCCCCCAGTCAAGAAGGATTTACTGTTCCTGCTGCTGCGCCTTCTTCGTTGAATGTAGTGGGGCCTGCCCTTACGGTCGGAGAAACGGGTGGTAACCAGACTGCTGCTGGTAACCACGGTATGGTTACAGAGGCGCCAAGCTCCGTGCTTCCCTTCCTGGGATTTAATAGAAGCTCTCTCCACGCCCCTAGGTTCCTGCGGCCCCCTAAACTCCTCTCCTTGTCAATGCTACCTGGTGGTTCTGCAGCTGGGAAGGAGGGGAGGGGCAAAGAGGAGGGGAGGGGCAAGGAGGGAGGAGGCAAGGAGGAGGTGGGGAAGGAGGAGGGGACGGGGAAGGAGGAAGGGGTGAAGCAGAAGCAGAAGGGGAAGGGGAAGAGGGTGGGGTTCGGTGCGGTGGAGTGCGTTGCAGGGCGGAGGAAAGGTGGGAGGAGGAAAGCAGGGAGGTGGAAAGGGGGGAGGAGGAGAGGGGGGAGGAGGAGGGTGGGAGAGGCAAGGAGAACAGGGGAGTGAAGAGAGCTAGTGTGAGTGGAGTGGAGTGTGTTGCAGGGCCGCCTGCCTCTGCTCTGGCGGGCATATGGAGGGAAGAAGAGAGAAATGAGGAGGAGGAGGAGAGTGGATATGGTAAGAGAAAGGGAGGGGAGGGGAATGGGGCTAAAGTCGTGGGTTTGGGTGCTGCGGAGCGTGTAGCAGGGCCAGTGGGGGTGCAGGTTTGGAGGAGAGGTTTGATGCGGGCAGGTTAAAAAAACAGATGGCTTGTGAGCTGGAAGCAGCACTGGCGAAGCAGGAGATTATAATGAAGCGGCAGGAGATGCTTATAAAGGAGGGGAAGAAAAGGGAGGAGAGAGCGAGAAAGGAGAAGCAGAGGAGGGAGGAGAGGATGAAGAGGAGGGAGGAGCGGGCGTTTGGGAAGGGCGGGGAGAGAGTGTGGAGGGAAGTGGAGAGGGAGGAGGAGGGAGAGGGGGAAGGAGAGGGGAAGGGGGAGCGGGATGGGGAGGGGGAGGGGGAGGGGAAGGGGGAGGAGGGGGAGGGGGGGTATGGAGCTGCATCGGAGGAGAGAAAGGCAGATGGTGTGGAGGCAAGTGCAAGACTTGATGATGAGAAATGTAACAATGAGTCAGGACCTGTAGGAGCGCTTCTAGCAGCATCTGTAGCAGAGGCGGCAGCAGCAGCACCTGTAGCAGAGACGGTAGCCGCACCTGTAGCGGAGAATGTAGCAGCACCTGTGGTAGAGACAGTAGCAGCACCTGTAGCAGAGACGGTTGCAGCACCTGTAGCAGTGAATGTAGCAGCACCTGTGGTAGAGACAGTAGCAGCACCTGTAGCAACAGCTGTAGGAGCATCTGTTGCAGCATCTGTAACAGCTTCTGTAGCAGAGACTGTAGCAGCACCTGTAGCAACATCTGTAGCAGAGCGTGCAGCATGGCATGACAGTGAATTTTCAGCGTCTCCTTCATTACAGAGCGCTTCACTTGAAGCTATAGCTCCCCCATTCAGTAGCGGCAACCAGGCAGTCCTGTCATTTGAGGCATCATGTGAGTCAGCCGAGTCGCCTTGTATAGAAGAAACTGGGACAGGAGCATCTGTAGCATCATCTGTAGCAGAAACAGAGGCAGCAGCATCTGTAGCAGCAACTGTAGCGGAGGCAGAGACAGCAGCATCTGTAGCATCGCATGTAGCAACAGATGCGGCAGTGGATGCAGCAGGGCCTGTAGCAACAGCTGTAGCAGCAGATGTCGTAGGGCGTGAAGCAGCGCATGCAGCAGCAGCTGCAGCAGCGGATGTAGCAGCGGATGTAGCAGGGCCTGTTGCATTTACAGTGGATGTAGCAGCAGCAGCGGTCGCTGCCGATGTGGCTGATGCTGACGTGGCGGTTGCTGATGATGATGTGGCTGTCGTTGACGTGGCAGTTGCGGATGTGGCTGTCGCTGACGTGGCAATAGCGGATGTGACTGTAGCTGATGCTGTTCAAGGAAAGGGCGCTAAGAAGAAGGGCACTCCAGCTGCAGCGGTGACTAAAAGAAAGGGTGTGCTAAAAAGGGGGGGAAAGGGGAATAAGGAGAGCGACAAAGGCAGTTCAGTAGTGAAAGAGGGGTTGAAAGCCGGTAAAGAAGAGAAAGAGGGAAAAGGTGCCAGCAGCGTTCAAACTGCCACCACTGCTACAGCCACCCATGCTACAGCAGCCGCAGCTACAGCCACCACTGCTACAGCTGCTGCAGCTACAGCCACAGTTACATC